GACAATAATGTAATTCAGATGTACCAACTTTCTAGCAGAGCAGGAAACACCGCGACGATTTTCGATGAAAATGCGACGACTTTCCTACTCAGAATCAAAAAAACCTCGCTATTTCAACTGAATTTGAACCACAGCTTACACACTGTGTCTGCACTGAAAATAAATGGCCAACGCATCGACTGCCGGTGCGCAGATGTGTTTATTGCACAGTCCCTCGCAGGTTTTTGTCGCTGACGGAACTGTTTTTTCTGGCAGATGTTTCTAGCTAAAAGAACTGAAACTGGCCGCCATGACGATCAGGAAACATCCCCTCAAATTTAGCTTTCTAGCTTTCATGGCTCTCGAGTTAGCAACTTAACCGCAAAAAAATTTTCGCTGGGCCGTACGTGAGAACAACGCGCAAATCTAGACAGAGCTTGAAGTCACTAGGTTCTACACGGATCGGAAGCATCCCCTAAAAACTTCAGCTTTCTAGCTTTTTTGGTTGCTGAGTTAGCAGCTTACCTGCAAAAAAATTTGGCAGGCCCGTAGGAGAAACCACGTGGGTAAGAGCGTCCATTTTGGGGCTGGGGCCCGTACGTGCATATAAATTAAGCTTCCACAGTTTCAGCCCTGTAGCTTTTGTAGGTCTTTAGATGAGAAATCGGTACAGACGCGCACACGGACACACATAAAGACGACCCCTCGTCAAAATACGTTTCTCCATTGCATAGGTGCAAAAAACGCATAAGAAAAAACATTTTGGAGATAAAGTAACTTACTTATCGATGCAAATCTTCTCAACCTGCGGCACAAGCACCTGCAATAACCTCATGACCGTTTGGAGTGGAAGTTTGTTCTTCCACGACTCCACCCACTCGGTGGTTGCTATCCAGCCATCCTGTACACCATCAATTTGTTCATGGGTCAGATCGTTTAATCCTTTTTCAGTCATCGTTGAGACCAGTGGCGTTTCAGCCAGACTCGCCATATTCGTCCTGTTGTCACCAGCCTCTAAAGCGTATGTTTTGATTCTGCACTTTCATTCAAAAAATCGGAAAATTTGATACCATTTAGGTAAATAAATCCCACCATCACGCTCGCTTTGTTATTTTTTCAGAGAGACTAGAATCTCTGAGTTGCAAAGGTACCAGAAGCTAAGATGAGGTAACAAGATGTGACTGGCGGATATCCTTAAATCAGTTCAAATGAGATTGCTGCACAAACGATCGTATGATTCAAAATAAAGCCAGGCGCAGAAGAGACCAAAAATAAATAAAAGGGGCGGTGGAATTAGGTTCGCATAAAATAAAGAAAATAGATGCTACCCATAACCGCCGATTTCGCATCAGCAGTTGGCGATTTCAGCTCGGAAACCATATCATTTTTTCGACCTTTACGCCCCAGCAACGTTTTTGATATGTATGCAGAATCGGAAGAGAGATTTGCCAGCTGATAGAACACTTGCCGCTTCCGAATGATCGTGTATATCAGATTCGAATTTCCTAATTAAAGCATATTTCAATCTGTCGTCTTTTAACTCTCTATAATACTTAGCGAGCAATGTAGCAAATGAACTGGCACATTAGAAGTGACGACTTTTCGTATGTTAATAAAGAGACGCCTGTAATGTCAAATGGAAAAGGTGAGAAGAACTGGGTTAGAAAATGCAAAATTAAACCAGACGAGGGCAAAAATCAATCAAATGGAGCCAGAAATCAGGCAAATTGGCCCAAAACACCTCCCGATGAGGTAAATTCCAGTCAAAAGGGCGCAATAATCAGCTAAATTTGTGCATGCATGAACTGTAAAAATATGAAATTCAGTTTGAAAGCGCCAAATTAAACTAAAAGCCAATAAACGGTTTAGAAATACTAAATTTAGCACCAAAACGATAAGTCAGAGAAAGCAAGTCGGACAGAATATGGCGGTCATATAAGGCAGAAAAGACGCGACGGTCAAAATTTCATAACGCCAAACCGGGAAGTATTTCTCCATTTTCACAAAAGCTCAATAAGCCACTGGCTTCTCGAAGACTAAACAGAAATGTTTCCAATAAAATAAAAGATACCATCAAACTGATACTGAATTATGTTATTCAGGACTTCGAGAAGGAAAAATACAAGATGATGATTCGTTGGCGAGGAAAACAGAAACCACGGGGTCGAAAAGGCTTCAATTAAATGAATGAGCTTATTGGCAGCCACCATCGAAATTGATTTTGAATACGGTGACACTGCAACAAGAATAACTTACTGCTGAAAATTCGAGCAAAAGTAAAACAATTTGAAAAAGTCAGTTAACACGTGTGGCGACTTTCAGCGACCTAAAGGAATCAATTGTCAGGTGCGAATTAGAATGATTCACCTGTACAGCATCAACATTCGGGGCCAATCATCTGAGGAACTGCTAATGGCGTTACTGAGGTCACTTGCTCAGTATCAAGGCTTTTGACGCATATAGCTAGCCCTCAGCTTTTGTTTTCTCTTCCACAAGTTTTTATTCGAAAAAAAGACACTTCTGCAAGGCACAAAAACAGCT